GTGTGCTCACAGATTATATTAATCACATAAAGTGCAAAAAAATTAATTAGCAAAAAACTTGCAGTTATACCAATCTTTTATATACTATTGCGGGGTATGGCTGCATACCCTGACATTTGTAAATGCATGAGTGCCAGTGAAAAGGGGTTAAACGAGCTAAAGTATTTTAAGGGTTTGAGTTGTTCCTTTAAGTTGTCCACTGAAGAGTGTTTTAGCAAGAGGAAAAACAAATACATACTTTAGGTTTTGGAATATTAAGGTAATGACAAATACTGTTAAACTACGTAAGAGCACTATATATTTTAGCAATAGTTGCTGCTGAAATAGAACAGTGAGCTGCACAGAGTGACAAATATGACTAAACACAGAAATCTGCCAGCCAACTAGACAATAATACTCCCCAAGCACCTTCAGTTATAGTTAAAGGAAATTACTTTCATCTGTAAATGTTCATCATTAATGTCAATTAAAATACACAAAACAGTGTCTGTGATGTTTAAAATTACCTTTAAAAATACTTCAAAACAGCTCTCTGCATCTGATAGAAGGATTTGATTTTGTAATTTAATTACTAAATTGCGTATATCTTTTAGGTCTAGAATGATCTATTTGTCGTGTAAAGTGTACTTTATTTTTCATAAATATTTTTTAACTCTTGACTCAACAAAATGGAAGTTAGTTGTTTATTAACTAAATATTGAACTTTGGTGAATCAATAAAGAAATTCTAAATTTAGATATACATAGACAATTTAGAAAAGTCATCAAGTCATACTCCTGGTCAGAGTATTACAGTTTATTTTCTTTTTTCTTGTTTTTCCAGCGCAAGTCACTATTCTTTTTTTCCCAGTCTCAACTTGTCTCTTTCCCTATCCATCAATATTTTAATCCTAACTAGCATTTCCACTGTCACTCTATCAGTCTGATCAGGGGCATATCTAGAGCATTTGGCAGAGCCTGCATTTGGCGCCCCCCTCCTTAAAATGTAAAAAAATACCCACACTTATTTTTATGTTTTCAAGAATATTGCACACATTTGCAAACTGTATTATTAGAAAGAGTTCCATCAAGGCCCCATTAGATACTACAATGAAGTCTAATGCGCCCTGGAGAGGGTTCTCTCTAATACTCTGGCCCCCATTCACATTATAGTAATATAACATAGCCAAAGTTAGTACTTCTCACCTTAATTACTGTTGCTGTCTGGCAGGCTGTGGCTGAATGACTGCTATGGCTGTCTGGCAGGCAGACTGGCTGCTATGGCTGACTGGCAGGCAGACTGGCTGCTTTGGCTGACTGGCAGGCAGGCTGACTGCTGTGGCAGGATGCCATGGCTGGCTGGCAGCCTGGTTGTGGCTGGCACACTTTCTTCCCCCAGCCCTTTTGTGCATCTCTTTCTCACACAGCCCCTTTGTGTGTCTCTTTTAACCTTCCCCTCTCTGTGTTTCTTCACCCCTAGCCTTTCTACATACCTCTTTGCCCCCCTCTGCCCCTCTGTGAGTCTCAGTGTGTCTGTTTGTCCCCCCCTCTCTGTGTTTCCCTTTTTCCTCCAGCCCTTCTGTGTGTGTCTGTTTTACTGTTCATGTACAGTGGGAATGTAAACAATTTAAACTGTCCTTCTTGGTTAGAAAGTGTATCTCATGGACTTAACATAACAGAACACTCCATGCATCATAACTACTACAGCACAGCTTAGAACAGTTTAACTTCTAACTTGGAGTCTACCAGACTAAAGGCGGGTGTAGTGGTTATGCAGATGTAGTTCATTGAGTGTTTTTCTTTGAATTTATTTTTAATTCTCCACCTGCCTCACATTTGGTTTGTGGGATGGAAAAATTCTAATTGCCATGATGAGTACTCCTGCAGTTTTTTCAAAACAAAGGGTATTGAAAAGAAAGAAAATCAGGTTCAACTTCTTCTGGTAAGTAGCGATCCCAAGTACACTGTCGCTGATTTTGTATTTATTGGGCAAGCTGGTAAGTTTATTTATTTCAGAACTAGTTTGGGAGCTCTTCACTACCAAAATTGTGTATAGACGATTTTACTTGCATTTGCTTTGCAAAACAGTCCACAAAGCCTCACTTACCTCTTTGTATATGCTCCAGAAATTATAAGGCTTGCACAGGAGCATATTTCTGTGACAAAAACACATTCCACCAATTTAAAGTCTGAATATGTCCTGAAAATTACAGTTTTCCCCAATGATTTCAATCAGTAAAGAAAAATTCACAGACCATATCATTCCTACAGGTAGGAAGGGAGAGAAGTGAATAACTTATTCCTCTTAATATTGCATTGCAAAGATTGCTATAAAATGTTTTTACATTTATTTGAGAAGTCTATTATTTCACTGTACTTACTGTGTGTGGTTGTTATGTCCAAAATCAGACTGTGTGGTTTTGTTTTGTGTTTTTACATTTTCCTGCCAGTTTTACTAAGCTTTTCATTTAGTAATATCATCAGGCTCCTTAAAAATACCAACAAGCAGGGTGTTTCACCATTTTCATCTATTTTTGTCATACTAATTGCATGTGAGAAAAAATATTTATCCATCCTTTTATACTAATATTTCAGACCCTCTATGAATTATTCCTTGTGAGATAAGGAACACTGCATACCAGCGGTTCCCAAACTGTGTGCCGCGGACTATAGCACCGGGAAACATTACTGCTAAACAGGGGCCCGGTCGGGTGACGTGGTCCTTTAAGACTGTGACCGGGCACCTGTAATTTCAGCCAGCTGGGAGGAAGTGACAGCCTGTCACTTCCTCCCAGCATCATGCAGGGAGACAGTGCAGGAGAGAGAGAGGAGGCAGTCACAGCATGAGGGGAGAGGACACACCAGGAAAGCTAACAGGTGGGTGGCTGGAGATATTACAAATATCACTTGTGTATGTGTATGAGTATGTGAGTGTGTGTGTCAGGGTGTGCCTCAGTGTGTGTGTGTGTCAGGGTGAGCAACTGTGTGTATCTGCATGTGTCAGGGTGAGCAACTGTGTGTATCTGCATGTGTCAGGTTGAGCATCTGTGTGTGTCAGGGTGTGTGTCAGTGTGTGCGCGTGTGTGTGTGTCAGAGTATGAGCATGTGTGTGTGTGTGTGTCAGGTTGTGCATGTGTGTATGTGTATATAATATAGCAGGAATGTGGAGCTGCACGCAAACTCATTTGAAATGTATCCGGATGCACCAGACCAGTCCCAGTACCAGGAACCAAGTATTTGATGAGGGAAAATAGAAGAGAAGTCCAGGCACTCTCAGTATACAAAAAAGCTAATTTATTGAACCTACTGCAACGTTCCGACCTACACGGTCTTTGTCAAGCGTGTGTATCTGTATCATGGTGTGTGTGTGTCAGGGTGCGTGTGAGTATATATCGGTGAATGCGTGTGCTAAGGTGTGTATGTGTCACTGTGTATATGTGTTGGTGTGTATCTATATGTGTATGTGTCTGTGTCTATATGAATTGGTGTGTATGTAGATCTGTGTAAGTATGTATGTATGTTTTCTGATTTATTGCTGCTATATTTGATTTTTTAATTGATTTTTCTCCTGAAGAAGTCTACATTTCAGTAGACGAAACGCGTAGAGCTGAGTTTTTATTCCTGTTTTCTACCTCACTTTGTTACCATCTGGAAGAGAGTGATACAGAAATTTGTTGATGAGCATTTCCATTTTTAACTTCTTGTAAGTGTATTCAATTAAAGTGTGTCTTTATACATTTAAAACATTGCTGCACTATGTCCAATTTTTCTCTCCTGACATGTATCCGTGGATATTGAGAATCTCTACACTGAATATTTAAAGAGATATTGATGGGCCTGAAAAATCATTATATCTTGTGAGTGTATATCATTAGTAAGGGGCCATTCTAATTTATATGGTATTACCCTATGAATTTTTTTCTACCTCTGTTCTTTTAGGTGTATCTTATATCTTGTATTTGTATTTGAGGATTTTGAGGAGTCCTTTGTTACGACCTAAAGTATAAGGGAAGTAATTAACCTTTATTTCTGGATTGTGTATTGCTGCACCTGGGTGGTCTATATATATATATATATACATATATTATGTATGTGGTAGTGTATGTGCATACATCCAAGCAGTCATACACCAGCACAACATACAAACACACCCCTGCAATCTAACACAAGTATTACATACAAACACACCCCTGCATTCAAACTCCAAAAGGATGTATTAAAACACTACAACTATATTCAAACACCCCTTCAAACACAAACATTGTACATTACACTATAGCACCTGTAAATTCTGCAGCGCTGTACAGATATACAACCTAGAAATTTTGACTTTGGGTGCCTTGGAAAAATATTAAAATATTAAGGGTGCCTTGAACCTAAAAAGTTTGGGAACCACTGCTGTATACAATCTAAAGTGTTTTATTCTCCCAATATTTCTATAAAGAATAAATGAGCAAATGAAAAATAAAAATTTATGTAACATGTAAATGTGCATAATATGTCATTTTTACACTTGCCCAAACAACGATCTGTACACAAAACTGTTGTTTTGCCATACATTTATGTACTAGCAACGCACCCCATCTTTCAAATAAATGTTATGCTATGTTTTTCCTATGTTCACAAAAAATTTTTAAAAAACTTTATGGTGAATTTAGTAAAAAATCATAGGCAAAAATCAATTGTTTGAAAAAATTCTCCAACGCAGCTCTAGTAACAAAATGCTTATTTGAGCCTCAATTTTGCAATTTGTTTTTCAATTCGGCACTTAGTGAACAAAGCCCTATAAAGTACCATGGAAAGAATCCCATTAATAGTTAATACTTTGACTAATTATTCTCAGTGAACAATATTATGAGGTTCATCATGCTATTGAAGTAAAACTCTTTAAATGGCAAGCAGTGAGACTCTTACTGTATCATGCTGGTGTACTGGCATAATTAGAAACAATTAGCTCTCTTCCTTACTGTGGCATGTGCAATCAACGTAAGCTCCCCTCAGTTTAATCTCTTCAATCACCTTTTTTTTTTTTGTCATTTAGATACAGGAGAGAAACAGACAGGATTTGTGTTTATTTTTTTGTAGCATGATGGTGCTGTTTGCATCAAGGCAGAGATACCCAGAGCGTGCAGTACTAGTCAGGGAAGTGCTGGAGCTAGGAGATAGACAGAGGTAAGGAGTCTGCAGGCTGCGGCTTTGCTGGGAGCTGTCCGAGGTGCTGAAAACAAGTCATTGCGAGCTCTCTCTGCACTGAGAGCAGTCTCCTGGACGTCTTGTTTCCTTTGCTCTTCTGGCTCCTAGACAGAAATTCCAAGTCATGGTGTATGCACCAGGTAAAGTACTCTCTGTTATGATTCTGGCCTACGTATGTATTTTTTATTTTTTTTTAGTTATTATTAAAAGCAATGATGTCCTTTTTTCAGTGTTCCAGTAAAGGACAGGGTCATTGGAAATGAGATTAAATGAAAAAAGAGAGGGAGCTAACCTTTTTTGCAGACTTGGAAGCTGTACATGTGATCATTCAGACTCCCAGTGGAGGGAGGCCAGCACAGCACAATAAAAACACAGACCCATCATTTGCTGGAGAGGAAAAACTCACTGGTACATCAGGTGCTATCCCCTCTCGGTTCATCAATGCATAGGAGTAAGTGTGCTCTGCTTTAATGAGAAGGAACATGGTCTGTGTATTGCTTTAATTTAACTACTTAATGACTTGATTAAAAAGCATGTTTAACCTTCCAATAGTGTATTGCTTTAATTTAACTACTTAATGACTTGATTAAAAAGCATGTTTAACCTTCCAATAACTCAGCTAGCTCACTGGTGATTGATACATTATTTCTCATGTATTGAAATAGAGGGTGCTCTGACAGGGTGTTTAGGGTGCACTGAGCTCAACTTTATTCTGGTTAGAGATTTGTAAACTTTGTAACAATGAGGGAGTTGTACATTGTGCAGGTTCTAAATGGATTTAGTTTGTACTCACTCATAACATTAGAGAAAGTATGGTTTAGAATAAACAGTGCAGTTAATTTACAGAACTAGCCAGGTTTATATGAAATATTTTCATTTGAATTCACTTTTCTTTTTGTCATTGATCATTTACTGGCACTATGTTCTTTTGTAATCCTTTATTTTTAGAAATGGAAAAAGTAGGCTGAATAGATAATGAGAAACAAGAGACAAGGGAAGGTGCCAATTTGTCTGCAGTGTTGCTTAATTATCCATGCAAGTTATGGGTCATGGTTTACAGTGCTTTAATGTAAGCTGAATGTCAGTATCCCAAACTAATATTGTTTGTAGTTATATATACCGAGTGTGCCTTGTAGTACTCCAACAGTTATATGTGGATCCTATCTCTAATCCTTTTTATCAGCTAGCCCAGATGCGTCAAACATTGAACTATGAAAATTGTACACAAATTTGTGGAAGTGCTATGCTGCATAAAAAGAAGATTACATTTGACAATATATTATCACAGTATAGGGGTGAATGATGAATGTTAAGTACTTTTTCAGAGCCATTTCCTCCTTAGGCTTTTTTTAATTAAAACTTAAAAAAGAAAATGAAAATTAACTTTTGTGATATTCAGTGCATAGTTTTCGGAAAATAAGTGAAAAACTTCAGAATTTGTTATCATGTTTGTCTGCAGCGTAAAAAGCAAATACAGAATTACCATTGGTCTATTTTTTAATGTAGTGTGTTGAATCCAATGAACTCAGATTAGAACACACTGTATTTCTACATCAGTGTTCAAGGTTACAGTGTTGTAATATTTTATCAGATCAGTATTTTTAAAGAAAAACACCACTAAATACATAGAAAATACACTGGTATGCATGACTCGTACACAACATTTTGAGTTACAACATTTAATTACAATCAGATATGTGATACTGCTTGAGGTAGTTATTTGTCATTGGTGTCACCTCAGCTGAGGTTCTAGGAAGAGTCAGCAAAATTTGAGACTAAAGAATTAATAAATTGATAGAAGTAATTGCTGTGACCTTTTGATTTTGAGAAAGTTAGTTGTTTATGATGTGTCCATAAAACCCTAGTTCAGTGTTTAAATGCATTGTTATTTGCCACCTTTACTGCATTAACATTGATGTAGCCCATTTTCACTCTTCAATCTTATCCTTGTATAAATTACTATTAATCCACTCTGCTCTGCAATGTTTGTTTTAAATATACAAATATTTGCAGTTCCAGTGAATATTGTGTAAAAGTAAAAAATCAATGACAGTAGTTTAACGACTAAATTGAAAAGCTTCAAATGAATGATTGCCCTTATTAAATATCTACATTACCTTTAACCAACAATGTGAACTTTGCATTGTCAGGTTCATTGTATGTGACATTTACTTAGTTTCAGGAAGTATCATTCAGGGCTTCAATCTCTTGAAACCTGACTGAATAGAAACATAGAATGTGAGGGCAGATAAGAACCATTCGGCACATCTAGTCTGCCCAATTTTCTAAATACTTTCATTAATTCCTGGCCTTATCTTATAGTTAGGATAGCCTAATGCCTATCCCATGCATGCTTAAACTCCTTTACTGTGTTAACTCCTACCACTTCAGCTGGAAGGCTTTTCCATGCATCTACTACCCTCACAGTAAAGTATTACTTCCTGAAATTATTATTTTTTTAAAATATGATGTGATCATTGAATTTCCCAAAGTATGGCAAGAAATTCACCAAGAGTATGGAGAAAACAAATCACAATGGCTATTTGCACAGTATGGCCCCATAGAGGTAAAACTTATTTATGGAACTTCAGCTATTTCCGTTACTGGGCTTAGTTGCTCTCTTAAGAGTAAAATATTCTGCTAATATTTTTCACCAAATGTTACACACTAGGACAGCATTAGTGTTCTGGATATTTGTGTCATTTAGAATGGTTGACCATCATAAATATATAGTCTAAAAAATTGGCCCACGGCACAGTAAGCCATCATTGCACTAGTAAGTCATCCAGAGTGTTACACTTATTATTATACTGAAAGGGCAAATCCAACAGTAAGTGCTACCGACTGTAAACGTTACATATGTGCCTTAGAGCAAATCTTCCAGTCACTCTTTATTAACAAATTCATATGATGATCACAATAGCTCCTTCATTAATTAATGGTTAGTTGGGGATAAACACCCTGTACGCATATATACATTGGAGGAAGTGTTTTCCTTTGGTTTCAGAGTGATTAATAGCTTATCTTTCTTAATAGAGGTCTCTATAATTTAGAAACATGACATAATTTGCAGAGGTTTCTGTGAACAGAGACATATATCCAATGCTGCTTCGCAATCTACTGGGATAAATATTGTACCTTCCTTTGTATCTCATGTAGTACTTTATGACACCATTAGGAAACTGCTGGATTGGGCATATGGTTGCACTAATCATGTCTGTCAGTAAGCTTTAATTGATTTGTTTTTCTTTCAGTCTTTGACTTTTTCATTTTGCATGCTTTGAGACACTGTCTTTCAATCTCTCTCTTGCATTCAACATAGAATGACTTAATCAGTTTTTTTATGGGAGGGTATAATCTCTGGTAATATATATATATTTCCAAGTGAATGGGAACATTGCTAATATTAAAAAATAAGCGTATATCATTTAATGAAATATAGCCCTAAGAGTGTGATAACCTTTAACCCCTTAAAGACACAACTTCTGGAATAAAAGGAAATCATGACGGAATATTTCTGTCATGTGTCCTTAAGGGGTTAAAATAAGTTATGAATTTACAACATGATAGCACAACAAACTATGATAGCACAATTATCCTGCACATATTTGGATAGTAGAAGCCATATTCGTATATGTGAACAGCTTCAGATTATTCCTTGTACTACCTGCAAGAAGATAATGCAGTGGGAAACAAAGAAGTATGAATAGGAAGTCAAAACATGTACAATTTTATGGTAAATTCATATTGTTCCTTCATCGGATATAACAATGTTTTTTATTTTTATCAGAAACCTACTTTTCTATTTATGATACCAGATCTAATTGTGAAAATCACTTGTTCTAGTTTTGCTCTGTGAATTTGTGTATTCGGGTTAACATGTTGAATAAATAGACACTCCTCTTTCATTTCTCATTCCCTGCCATGTCTATACTCCCCCTTTAAATTGCAATAACATGTCTGAATCTGTCAAAAAGATATGAAAAAGAAGTAGGCAACAATAGTGTAAATCAAGTTACTTTGAAGCTCTCAGTAAAGAGACCGTTTATAAAAGTTTGACATCCTTAATAGTACATGGATGAGTGACCTAATTAACCCATGAAAGACAAGTGACAGAATAAGTCGGCAACAACAAAGTAACCTTCAAACATCCAGCATTAAAATGGAATGTGCCACTTATTTATTGGTAAAGAGAATGCATAAGTATGCAAATAATAAATAGGACACTCCATATGGGCATAGAGTCATTTGTTAACAGGGCGTGAAGGCCTCACGAAATAATATTGGTTCTTAAGAAGTTAATGGCAAATTGTGGATCTTTTGTTGCCAGGGTGATCACTTTGATTTTGCAAATTTACAATATTGCAATTGTCGTTTTTAACATATGAACCATTTTTTTTTTTCTAGGGGAGAAACCAGGAAAAGAGCCAGAGGAAGTAAAGCTACAAAATGCTAGTAAACAGATTGTAGAAAAGGTGATTCTGCAAGCAGTTCAGCAAGTCTCTCAAGAAGAGGAGCATGGAGAGAAGAAATCAAATAGAAGAGCAGGCCAAGAGTTACCATCTAGCAAAATAAAACACAAACAATGAAAGGAAGAAACAAAGTCAAGATGGTTACCTTTCGAAGGCTTCAACATGGCTTCAACATGGCAGCCCAGCCCAGTCTAACAATAACGCCAGCTCTGTAATTATAATCGTCAAAAAACCAAAGCATTATCCAAATGTAGAACTATTATTGTTGAAAGTAGCACTCTCCGGTGAAGCAGTTTCTGTGCGTTTGGAGAATTACTCACCCTGACATGGGGCCTCTTGATAACCTTCATGAAAAAAGGAAGCAGTGGATGCACAATTCTTTTTCGTACAAGTTTCTCCTGAGTTATAGTTTTGTATAGAAGACTCTGCTACTTTGCACAATTTCATTGTTTTTCCTGATCCTCAAAGTATAATTTCTTTGTCAATTGCATATATTATGCTAAACATTTTTTTTAATGTCCCTATATCTACAATATTTAAACAAGTAAGTTAATGTTCTTCATTGGTTCTTTGTATATAAAAGTTTGGCAATTATAATCCATTGTCAATCACTTATTTTATTTTTAACTATGCTTTAAAAGGGGGTCCATTTATCAATCAGTAAGGGGTGGTGGGTTTCGCAATATATCACACTGTTTGTGAATAGACACCCCCTTTCACCATTTGTTTCTTGTTGTCCTACTTTGTCCATGTTATGTTTATTTACAACATATAAACCATTTAGATTGGTGTCTTACTTTGTTTGTTTTATTTATCTGTTTCTGAACTTAAAAATGAAGAGTGCAACGTCTCTAAAATAAACTCCGGGAAATCTTCAGGTTTATATTTTTGTTTATGATCTGCTTAGGATAAATTAAAACTGTATAAAATACGAACAAATACTTGACTTATTTATTATAATTCTTAAGTATGAAAATATTGCTGCACATATTTTCTCATAATTATGACTATGAAGCACTTTGGAAGATGTTTGCAGCAAAATGATGTTAATAATATGTGTATAGTTTATAAATACGTATGATAGTAGCTACATGCGTACACAGATGAAAAGAATAGGTAGAGTTGCTTTTGCTTTAGAGCAGTGCTTCCTAAACCATGCCTCATGACCAAGCAACAATCCGGGATTTATGTATTTTCCATTTTTTATTTCAATGGAATTGGAATAAACAAAATGTGGACTGTTGCTGGGTAATGTGGACTAGTTTTGGAACCACTAATCTAGATAATTAGATATTGGTTAAAACAAAAAAGTAGAAAGTGTTCCTCTGACCTCTTCTCTACCAATGAAGAAAAACGCTCTCACTTGAACCATGTCTCCTATGTAAGACTTCATCTGGCACAGACATAGCCATGCTGATAAGGAGCAGCCAGAGTTTTAGAATGCATTTTCACAATGCCCATTCGTGTTACTGTCTAGGGCATCCCCTACTCCTGACTGTGCAAATGCATTTTTTAATCACCTAGCTCAGTGGTCTCCAACCCAGTCCTCAAGTACCCCTGAACAGTCCAGGATTTAGGGATTATCCAGTTGTGTCTAAGGTGTTTTTAAAATAAAACAAAAACACAAAAATACTTTAGACACAACAGGGTAATCCCTAAATTCTGGACTGGTAGGGAGTTCTTGAGGACTGGGTTAGGAACCCTTGACCTTGCTAAAAGGAATTATTTTGCTGCTGAAAGGATAAACTAATGCCCAACACGCAGAACTTAAGTAAAAAAATAAAGAAAACCCTAAGACGTATTACTGGGCCTTATAAAGGCCAGATTTAATGTATAAATGGAAAAAACAGGCTGTGGACAAGAACACAGAAATCAAAGAAACTATTAACAAGCCAAAGGTCGAGGAATATAGAAGCTAGAATAGTCAGGAGCCAAGCCAAAGGTCAAGGAATACAGAGATCGGATAGTCCGTAGGAAAGCCAAGGTCAAAATACACAAGAATCAGTACCAGAAACGCGCTCTCAGATAACTAGAATGGAAACCACGACAGGGCACAGAGAAATGGACAAAATTGAACATGATTGGCTGCAGGGAAGCATGTGATAGTGAACTTGTGTGTGTGACATCACCCGCACAAGTCCAAATGGTATGGCACTATAAGGGTTAATAACAAAACCCTTAAAAGGTTCTAACTTGCAGTGGCCGGCATCTCTAATGATTGCAGACCTGGCCGCTGTGTGAGGGGGAGGAATTCCTGTCAGTGAGGCGGCATTCCCATTGCCTGCAGACCGGATAACTATTCCGCCGAATTCCCCTTGATGTGTGGGAATGCTGCCACAATGATGTGTGCCCATACCACTCATTGGCATGAGCAGACCCGGCGGGTGGCGTGACAGTACCTCCTCCCCGAAAACCGCCCACTGGGCGGGAAGGGGCCAGCTTTTTGGGAACCCAGACATGAAAAGCACTCAGCAGCCTAGCAGCATGAACGTCAGAGGCAGGAACCCACATACGCTCTTCCGGTCCATAACCCCTCCAATGAATGAAATACTGTAACATCCCATGCGACCACCTTGAGTCCACAATAGATTGAATCTCATACTCGTCCCAACCATCGACAGGCACACATTTGGTGTAGCAATTACACAACAGAGGCTTGAGCAAGGACACATGAAAAACATTAGGAATATGCAAGGCCATGACATGGTTGATTTTCGTAGAGATTACATATGGGCCAATGAATCTGGGAGCCAGCTTCATAGTCGGCACTTTCAATCTGATGTAGCGAGTGGAAAGCCAGACCTTGTCCCCAACAACATAACTAGGTGCCATGGAACGGCATTTGTCTGCAAGTGTTTTATGATGAGAGAAAGCCAAAGGCATTGCACGCTGTACAAGCTTCCACCTGTCTTGAAGATCATGAAAGTGTTGATCAAGAAACGGTAATCCAGTTTCATGAAACTGAAAAGGGATAACAAGCGGATGACTTTCATATGTAATGAAGAAAGGGCTATACTGTGAGGAGGCTATGCTGTGAGGAGGCGGCGTGAAAGCTGCACACCTTTCGATGCTGCCAGGGTCCTGTTGACACCATGGCCTTATGTAGGGCCACCCCTGTGGTCATGACTTTGATTGAGTAAGAAGATCGTCAATATTTCCAGTGGAAGTAAATCTGGTGAAATTTGAATTAAGTACTAGCTTTTAAATTATGAACATGCTTGGTTTATCACACATCTTTCTGCCATGTAAAATATTTTTGTGTCCTGCATCTAAATAATTATAGTAAAGACAGGAAAGAGAATTAATTTACAGTCCAGACACAGTGTTTTTTTTTTAAAAAAAAGCACATTAGCTGCATTTAGATTAACTCCTGCTATTCATATAATTGCTGCCCAAGCTTTATACTACTGCTACCATAGACACTGCTGCTCAGCTAGATTGCTGTACCTATTTTTTTCTTTCCTTCTCAGTTCTTTTATTGCTACCAATTTAGTTTGATCTACTCCAAGCTCCTGATGCCTCCTAGACTGCTGCTAGGGACTTAAATGTTCCTACTGTATAGCTCTTCTGTTTGGTGTCCACAGGAAATTTCAGAACTCAACAGAACTCATTGGCTTAAACGATTTGTTGAAGATTGATTGTTAAATGAAGATAATTTCCTGATTTAACATTGGGTGTTGGACTCTGGATTATTGGGTGAAAAACATCTACTTCTTAACTTACATTGAGTATAGCAGTCTCAAATATTTGGAGAGAAACTTTGCCTCACCTTTCCAATGTTTACCAGGTTTGTTGTTAACTTTTGCTGACAGGCATCCAGCTTTGAAATGAAATTACCCCAGGGACAAATTATTCAAATGTAATGGCCCATTCTTTACTTTTAGTATGTGACAACATGCACCTACTTTAATTTAACCCACAACATGGCATTCTATTTGGAAATATTTCTAATAGAGGTTTTTCTGACACTTGAAGAATGCTTGTATCACTGAGATGATTCCATACTACTTGCAAAACTGGTCAATGCTAGCAAATATGAAGCTTGTCATCTGGTTCGGAGCAACCTTTGTATCCACTTAGGTTGAATCATTGCCAAATGCCAGAGATAATGATACCAGCTGAACGAAACTTACAGAAGCATTCATTGTGGGCAGTTCCTGAAAATGTCGGTGCCAAGCAGATTAAATGGACTGGTTTTTCAGGTTATTGTAGTTACGGGAATGTTTCCTGAATGTCATGATAAACTAGCACTTAGGAACATGAATGGCTAAACATCGTGATTCTACAAGTGAATGAGGATGAGTTATTTTCATTTATTATTTTTTTTGTTTTGTTTTTTATCATCACTATAACAATACAAAGCATGTATAAAATATATATATGTATAAAAACATACATTGTAACAATAATATGTACAATTATTACCAGATATCTAAAAGTCAATACTAAGCCACAATCCTTTCATACCACATTCATACATGGCGACCAGCCAATAGTCATATTTAACTATAACCAATTTTTCAGTTGAAGGTTTAACTAGAATCCATATTTACATCCGTACTGGAGATCTTAACATATCCCTTTTAGTTTGTTAAAAAGATTATCATATACAAAGTAGATTTTTTTCTTTATTTATATTGAAGTGAACAGTTTTCTCCATTTCAAATTGATGTTGTAATTGAGATCTAAAGACACAACCTTGAGGGGACATTCAGAGATTTCCAATTTCTTGCCAAGACAATTTTAGCTGCCTCATTTAGTAGTTTTAAAGGAGCACTATAGGGTCAGGAATACAAACATGTATTCCTGACCCTATAGTGTTAAAACCACCATCTAGCCACCCTGGACCCCATCATGCCTCCATAAATATAGCAAAATCTTACTTGTATTCAAGTCTGGAGCTGTTTACTTTGTCCCTGTTTCCTTTAGACCTGCCCACTGCCTGCTGACATCAGTAGAAGTGGTAGCCTGATCCAATCACAATACTTCCCCATAGGATTGGCTGAGACTGACAAAGAGGCAGATCAGGGGCAGAGCCAACACAAATCAAACACAGCCCTGGCCAATCAGCATCTTCTCATAGAGATGAATTGTATCAATGAATCTCTATGAGGAAAGTTCAGTGTCTGCATGCAGAGGGAGGAGACACTGAATGTTTGGATGCATTTTAGGCAGACATGACCCAGGAAGGATCTCTAACAGCCATCTGAGGAGTGGCCAGTGACGTTATCACTAGGCTGTAATGTAAACATTGCATTTTCTCTGAAAACACAGTGTTTACAGCAAAAAGCCTGAAGATAATGATTCTACTCACCAGAACAAATTCAATAAGCTGTAGTTGTTCTGGTGGCTATAGTGTCCCTTTAATTATGTAACAATAAGTAATTTGAATTCCTTCCAAGGATAAACGAAGTTCTATTCATTATTCAACTAAATTATAAAAAATGACAAAACAATACATGTCTGGAATCTATTACAATAGGTAAATATAACTAGTAACTGATGGCATTTCTCCCACTGCCATATATGGGGCAACTGATATTCAGTTATCTAAGATATGCTTATGTCTTATGAAAGAACCTAACTTACTGTATGAACTTCATGTTAAACAGGTTACTCTATGTACTGTATTCTGTTAAGAGAGGTAAATGGAACTCTGGTTATTGAATAACAGCTTTCTCATAGACTTCAGGGGACCATTGCTATTCAATAACTGGAGTTAAAAGGAAACTATAGTCACCAGAACAACTACAGTTTATTGAATTTGTTCTGGTGAGTAGAATCATTACCTCCAGGCTTTTTACAGCCTAGTGATAACTTCACTGGTCACTCCTCAGATAGCTGTTGGAGATCCTTCCTGGGTCATGGCTGCCTAAAATGCATCCAAACATTCAGTGTCTCCTCCCTCTGCATGCAGACACTGAACTTTCCTCATAGAGATTTATTGATTCAATTCATCTCTATGAGGAGATGCTGATTGGCCAGGACTGTGTTTGAATCATGCTGGTTCTGCCCCTGATCTGCCTCTTTGTCAGTCTCAGCCAATCCTTTGGGGAAGCACTGTGATTGGATCAGGCTACCACTTCTGATGATGTCAGCAGACTGCTTTTTTTCTGAGTCAAACAGCATGCAGAGTTACAGCTTCAGGCTTGAATACAGTAAGATATTGCTATATTTATGGAGGCATGAGGGACCCGGGGGAAGGGGGGCTAGATGGTGGTTTTAACCCTATAGGGTCAGAAATACATGTTTGTGTTCCTGACCCTATAGTGATCCTTTAAGCTTATCTCTGCTAATAGAGTGAGTCCGTAATGTAATCCCAGTTGGACTAAATATTTTACACAATTTCAAAGGTCGCATATAGACATTTTACTAAAAACACAACCAAGTCACCATTCTAAATTCAGATAAGTAAAATTCCCCATGGATATGCCCAGTAGATTTAAAGACAAGAATATTGTTTAATTGATGAATTACCAGCTTGCTTTGAAAATGCTGCATTATTAAGAATAAATTATTGACTTTGAATGCGGTTAAGGTAGAATTAAGGACTGTCTTCCTTCCTGATTAAAGTATTTGTTCTTTTCAGGTTATGGCAATAATACAATCACTGTCTAATTAACTGACTAACAGGATATGTAGTTATTTTCTAATAATGCAAAATACTGTGACAAATTTGTTCTAAGTAACAGCAAGACACATCTAATCTGAAAAAAAATGAAACATCCATACTTCTTGAATTAAAAGTAGTTACAAATTTAAATAGGATAATTAAACTAACCGGGCGCCCAGAAATCTAATATTGTTGTTTCGCTGGAAAATCATCATGGCAGTTATATTTTTACTACATCTTTGGGTCTACCTTCTGCCTTTAGACCACCATTATTCTAGATAGATAGTAGTCATAACTTCCATTAATGTAATGGTTGTATGTTCTGATTCTGAGCTGATATTTATGGTTATCCCCATATTATGCAATGTGACATCATTTTAAGCTATCTAAAAATAGACAGAAATACCTGAAAATCTCCATTATAAATAATTTTGTACAGATAACTCTTAATATGATGATTGTCCATTAGTATGTTCCAACATATTTGACAAACTATTTTGGTAAGAAAAAAATTGTGGCCATAAAATTAAACTCACTGACAATGATAGATAGACCATTCAAAGGATATTTGCAAATTAATAAAAATAACTAACTCGGAAATTAACACAGCACAAGATGGTCCCATCGGAAGAGCACACATAAGTACCATCAAGAACTACAGTGTGGGATTTGCTTGAAGAGGTCCCAAGTCTATCTATGGTAAAGCCAGACTATGTATTCGGTGGCCAAGTTTCCTACCTAGGACGGTGGGCCCCAGTCTGAGCCTGAAGTTCTTGTTCTAATCATGCCCTCCTCGAGAGCAAAATATCTCCCTACTCGGCCCTTTAAAGATTACTCCCTGGTGGGTCGTGGTCTATCTACAGTCATTCACGGTTTTGGTACTCTTATGTCCTCACAGAGCGCCATACAGGAAGGCATACACCTGCACCAGGGAATCCCCCAATATTGAATCACTGGGTCATCATGGAGCACTGGACCACCATAGAATGTATTTGTGCATCCCTTCCTGTCCAGGAGGCAAACAGGATGGGGCAACTGTTATATTTAAAAAAAAAAGATTGTGGGGCGTCTTTGTTTAACACGGCCTCCCCACATACTGACACTCACATACTTAACCCCCATAATTGTCACTCCCTCACTCACCCCCTTGTCACACTTACCACCCCTCACATTGTTACACTCACCCTTAACCTTGTCACACTCACAACACCTCTCACCCTGCCACATGAGCCCTTTAACAATCACCACCCCTCACTGTACCACACAATGTGCCACAGTCACCCTCACCTTGTCACACTCATCCTCTCACACTGTCACACCTCCTCCTAAACCAGGTCACACTCACCACCTAAACACTATCACACTTACCATGTCACAGTCACCCACCTACTCATCACATCACAGTCACCAGTGAAGATAGTCATTATCACCTCCCACACTTGAAACACAGTTTGACCATAAACACCACACACAAAAATAAAAAGCACCCTCACACACAACACAAGCATCTACCCCAGACACACATATGCTCCCAGACACTGAAATAAACATGCACACTGACACACATAATGATGCTCTGGCCCATACACAAATACACAATGCCAGAGACACAGACACACTCAGAAATTCACACACTCTTAGGCACATACACAGATACATATATACACATACACCCAGCATGTGAAACTCAAAGGCTAGCACGGGCCAAATAAACAAGTTTTAAGTTTATGTGGGCCAGAAAAAATTATTTTTTTTGAAAAGTACAGTATAAAAACAAAAAAAGCATCCCCCTCTACTAAATTCCAGCCCCTCCTCTACTAAACCTCTATATTAATTCCCAGTCCCCCCCCTCTAAACTAAATCCCAGTAACCCCCCTCTATACTAAATCCCAGTCACCCCCTGTAACGGATCACCTGCACCCCAACTGGGTACCTCCGTTAAAGGAAGCTCCTAGCGTTTCCTGAGGACTCCAAGCACTCTGGCAGACACCACAATCACAGAACCGGAGAAGCATATGAGTACTTCTAAGCATATGAATGTTGTATACAGCCGAATAGGAAAAACCATGCGAATAGGTTTACACTCCTAGCAGTCAAACTGGAACAGCATACAATAAATCCTCCCCCAATAATGAGACGACAATTCACTTTGAGGGTTAAGCAGGAACTCTCTGTAATGGCCACACACTGGCTTTTATGCAAGTCCCCATGCAAGGGGACATCCCACAGGGTGGGACACAATACAACCAATCGGTTACAGGAGAACCGTAAAACACACCCAGCACAAACATACATCCCTCCCCTCTGCCTGTGATATAATTACTGAACACAATGGGTTAATGTAATTTATCACAGGCAGAAAAAATACACTTTTTATACATACACTTTAACTTTAAAAATATGCATCATATTCACATAAAACATACATATTCAGCATACTTTAAATATAAACATAACCAAAATTCAGCCAATTCCATCCAGGGGTTAAAAAGTTAAGGAAAAGTCCTATTTGACCAAATGCAGCATGGCTTTTCTGCCCAAAACCAGTTCCACAGAGTCTTCTATCCCGGAGATAATTGGGAAGTAATCCAATTATCTCCAGGACAGAGGCAAAACTCCATTGAACACATGGCAGACAAAGGACAATAAAAGACATAAAAATACATACGGTTACATTTATCACATAGAACATACACATTCTACCTATCCCCAGATAGCTTAGATCTGAGCGCACATTATTACCGGATGGTGCTCAGATCACGTACATACAGTTCAATCGCCATGGAGCCAAAGTCTTTCATACAGTCTTTCAGTATACGGCTGGGCTCCATGGCATAGCTATCTGGGGTAGCATGGCTTTAACAGTCCACAGAAAGGCACGAATAAACCTTTCTGCAGGTAAAATACAAGTTTAAAATGCAGGACCTTAGTCTAAAGGGAGCAGGCAAGCAACCAGGCCTTTCCAGTGGACAGTAGCGAGGTTGGTTCCGCCACACCCCCCTCTACTAAATCCCAGCACTACTAAACCCGGGCCTTGTTTAAAAAAACAAAAAACAAAGACAATATTAGCCAACATGCAAGCAGACTCCACTCACATTGCCGCTGCCAGTATACGACTCCGGAGTACAGCCTCGGGAATAACCCTTATGGCGCCATCCACACCCAGTGCCAAAGTGTATCCTCCCGCTACTCCTTGAAACCCTGTGAAATTGGAGCATGTTGACATCACGTCGGAATGTGAAGTGGTGTTGCGTGCCTCCGTGCACCTCCAGGTCTTCCACTGTCCAGCCACAGCCATCGCAACACTGACCAACACACACTCATTGACTGACACACACTGATAGACATAGAGACATACACACTTACACACAGACACACACACACTGACAGACAGAAACACTGACAGACACACACACTGACAGACACACACTCACTGACAGATACTCTCACTGACAGACACACACACTCACTCTCTGACAGTCACTCACTCATTGACTGGCAGACACACACTGACAGACAGACACACACACACACACACACACTGACATACACACACTCACTAACAGACACACTTACTGACAGACACACTTAATGACAGACAGACAGACACACACACACTGACTGACACACACTCACTGACATGCACACACACATACCCACCGACAGACACACACTCTCACTCACTCACTGACAGACACACACACACACACACACACACTCACTGACTGACAGACAGACACACACACACACTGACAGACACAAACACTCACTGACACACACACACATTTACACATTCTTGCACACACTCACATCATTTTATTTATTGTTCCCTACCTTTGGGAGATGGTGTGGAGCCTCTCCCTGGGGTCCAGTGGGAATCTTCGCTTTGGAGGTCTCCTACCTGCTCCTCACTGCTGGCTCACGCATGCAGTTTAGTGATGCCGGGTTCCGGAACAACATCATATTCCAGCACCGGGCATCACTACAGACAGCCCGCGAGGGAGCAGTGAGGAGCAGGAAGACTGAGCTCCCTAGCTGCCGCCAGTGACCTCTCCACCTGGCTGAGTAAATTTGAGCAGAGTAGGCACCTGCAATGTGGCAAGAGCAGGTGTCTACTCTGCCTTAGTAAGCATGGCAAACGCGTGGCTTGCCGGGCAGCAAATATATTCATTGTGGGCCACATGCAGGCCGCGGGCCACGAATTTGACATGCTTGACATACATACTCCTCCAAACACACAACATTCAGCCACTACACACTCTTTCAAAATCACCTCTCACAGAAACAGAACCCAGAGTTCTAGGAAGCGGTCCCAATCTGCCACCTTGCCTAGGGACCAGGGACACCTAAATCCAGCTCTGATATATGGGCCCTTGTCTGGCCTGAACCCAGGTAAGGCTGTGTCTAAAGTTCACCATACAAGATCCACTAGCAATCATATGATAAAGGGACACTTTTCCTTCAGACAAACTGTGCTTGGACTTGTGATTGGATGAGTAGAGGGGTGTATACTTACAGCAGACTTATATTGCTGAAAACATGGTGAACCTGCTTTTCAAATTTCTTTCGTTTTTTTTGTCACCTACACAACTGTTCTATGTAAGGACTTCCACCACAAGCAGTAAACATTGAGTATGGTTCATAGGTTTCAAACACGTGATATGAAATATAATCTGCAACGTTCTTTATTCCTTGCACCATCCTGTGATTATCCATCAGTGACTTTATTTCATGCATGATCAATAAGTTGTGAACATATTTATTTAAAAAAAATACTAATTTCTATTCACAATGACTCAATTTGCACAATATCCTATTTCTATGCAATAAAAATAAATTTGAAAAAAGGAAGGTGCACACACACAAACACAAACAGGTGCACACACACAAACACACCTATAGCACAGACATATGTGTGAAGGGATTAGAGGATGGAGGATGATATACTACAGCAAAGTTATTCTTCCTGAATTATTAATATCTTTATTAGATTTAATGCTCATGGTGCTGCGAGACCTCAAACCTCAGCTTGGTCTATCTGAGTGCTCTAATCATGGTAAAAGAGATTAACCATATTAACTTAATGTTACAAAAAAATAAAGAATAATCCAACATCTGATTTATATCACAAATACAACACTTAGCAGACATTCAATTAAATTCATTAAAAGGTCCTTTTTATAAGGAAACACTCAGCCACACTGTATTGATGCAGTCCTCTCTCAGGCTCCCTGTGTCACATGAAATGGCTAACGGCAATCTAGATGCACTAGAATTGCCCCAGCAATTTGATACAGTTTATTGTTCTTTGCCTTTACTTCTTTGTGGTCTAATCGTGTTAGATATCCCTTATATTAAAAAAATTGGGCAGACTAGATGGGCCGAATAGTTCTTATCTGCCGTCACTCTATGTTTCTATGTTATAGCTACTATTTCAGCTGGGTTGGTTACCCTTACAGATCATTTGTGGGTTACACCCTTTGCATACATATTTATCAACATAGAAACATAAAATGTGACGGCAGATAAGAACCATTCGGCCCATCTAGTTTGCCCCAATTTTCTAAATACTTTCATTAGTCCATGGCCTTATCTTATAGTTAGGATAGCCTTATGCGTATCCCACGCATGCTTAAACTCCTTTACTGTTTTAACCTCTACCCCTTCAACTGGAAGGCTATTCCATGCATCCACTACCCTCTCAGTAAAGTAATTATGGAATAGTTCACAACTGAGTTGATACCGCCAGGTATTAATCTTGCAACTCTCCTATACTATTTTATTCTACCGATGGTGAGGTGTATTAACCAATTAAGCTACATGAACGTTATAGGAAGCTTTTGCTGAATGCAAAAGTAAACTGAATTTAAACTCGATGATAGATATTCAACGGTTCAATTGGTTTATTTTATTTTTCTTTGCATATACAATGTCGGTCTTTGTCATTCTTAAATCTAACATAGGACTCGATTTAATATTGTTGGAAAAACTCAATTTATTACTATGAAAAATATTTTCATTTTGTAATATTTAATTTTTTTGATATATTGATATTTGTTTCCTTATATGATATAGTTTTTGATAATTTAATATTTTGAATATAATATTTTAAAAGTTAATCTTATATTATGAAAACATAATAAGTGTATTTTTTAATTAATATATATATTTGTATATATATAGTAATATAAAATACACTTAGAATGAAATTACATATATATTATATATATATGTATAAATAAATATGTACAGTAATTATATATTGTATACATATTTACATATAAAATAAAATAATTAATGTAAAACATTAAAATAAAAAAAATAAAAAAAATAATAAAAATAAAAATATACATACACTGCTCAAAAAAATAAAGGGAACACAAAAATAACACATCCTAGATCTGAATTAATTAAATATTCTTCTGAAATACTTTGTTCTTTACATAGTTGAATGTGATGACAACAAAATCACACAAAAATAAAAAAATGGAAATCAAATTTTTCAACCCATGGGGGTCTGGATTTGGAGTCACACTCAAAGTTAAAGTGGAAAAACACACTACAGGCTGATCCAACTTTGATGTAATGTCCTTAAAACAAGTCAATATGAGGCTCAGTAGTGTGTGTGGCCTCCACGTGCCTGTATGACCTCCCTACAATGCCTGTGCATGCTCCTGATGAGGTGGCTGATGGTCTCCTGAGGGATCTCCTCCCAGACCTGGACTAAAGCATCTGCCAACTCCTGGACAGTCTGTGGGGAAACGTGACGTTGGTGGATGGAGCGAGACATGATGTCCCAGATGTGCTCAATTGGATTCAGGTCTGGGGAACGGACGGGCTAGACCATAGCATCAATTCCTTCGTCTTGCAGGAACTGCTGACACACTCCAGCCACGTGAGGTTTAGCATTGTCTTGCATTAGGAGGAACCCAGGGCATATGGTCTGAGGATCTCATCTCGGTACCTAATAGCAGTCAGACTACCTCTGGCGAGCACATGGAGGGCTGTGCGCCCCCCCAAAGAAATGCCACCCCACACCATTACTGACCCACTGCCAAACCGGTCATGCTGGAGGATGTTGCAGGCAGCAGAACGTTCTCTACGGCGTCTCCAGACTCTGTCACGTCTGTCACATGTGCTCAGTGTGAACCTGCTTTCATCTGTGAAGAGCACAGGGCGCCAGTGGCGAATTTGCCAATCTTGGTGTTCTCTGTCAAATGCCAAACGTCCTGCACGGTGGCCTGTGGACGTCGGGCCCTCATACCACCCTCATGGAGTGTGATTGACTTGGAGTTACATTGTGTTGTTTAAGTGTTCCCTTTATTTTTTTGAGCAGTGTATATATATGCACCCAAAAGCTAGGAAACAGAAGGGTGGTTTAAAATGTGTACATTTTGCATGTGTGTCTGTAAGTATGTCAGTTTATTTATCTGTGTTTCTGTGTATATATCTGTGTATCTCTGTGTGTGTCTGTGTATCTGTGTGTTTGTATGTGTGTCTGTTTGTCTCTGTATCTATATGTGTGTTTTTATGTGTATAGGTGTGTCATGCCACTGTGTATCTGTGTGTGTGTCTGTGTATCTGTATGTGTGTCAGTGTTTGTATTTGTATGAGTGTCATTGTGTATATCTGTATATCTGTATAACTGCATGTATGTTTTTGTGTGTGTCTGTGTATCTGCATGTGTGTCAGCGTGTGTATCTGTGTGTCTGTGTATCTTTATGTGTATTGGTGTGTGTCTGTGTATCTGTATGTGTGTCAATGTATGTCTTTGTATCTGTATGTCTGTACCTGTGTATCTTTATGTGTCAGTTTTTTAATGGCAACAGTACATAAAAACACACAATGCAACACTTCATACAAATACACCCCAACATTCACACACACATACTACT